CATCATGTAGGTTAATTCATTTATTCCTCACAAGGATGTTTGGGGTAGGTACTATTATTATCCTAATTCTTCTGGGGAGGAAACTGAGACCAGAGAGGTTAAGTGACTTACCCAAGGTGATGCAGCTAGAGAGGGCAGAGCCATGTGCTTCCAGAGTCATACTTTTACCTCCTCCACCATTCAGTCTCATCTGCTGCCAGGACCCCTGAGGCTTGGCGCCAGGAGAAGGGAAGGACAGAGACCAGCAGGCGTTGAAGAGGCTGAGAAGGAGTTCTTGCAGGAAGACCAGGCTCTAGCAAGTAATTGGTATATGAAGGGTGTGTGTGTGTGTGTGTGTGTGTGTGTGTGTGTGTATCTGTATGGTGGGGGTACAGGTAAGGATACCAGACAGCTAGCAAGTGGGGATGGAAACCAGAATTGGAAAAGTCTTAGCCTGTCTCTGCAGGCCCTTGCCCCCTCTGTAGGGATGGCAGTGGCTGGAAGGAGCTGGGTTAGGCCTGAGATATGCTGCAGCCTGGCTTTCCCTGTCCCATTTCCTATGGTCATTTCAGAAAACATTTGGAGATTCTAGGAGGTGGCTGAGAAGGAGAGAACAGGGTCAGGCATGGTTGGATCTTGGCTGGATATGGAGCTGCCCTCACTGGGAAGGGAGCAGAGAGGCCAGGAGGGGGGCTGGTGGAAAATAGAAACCTCACCAGAGGAAGGTTTAAATTCTCACTCCGTGAAAGAGGATACCTCAGGGGTGCATTGATGGAGTCGGTGCTTTATGTGCAGGGACAGCTGGGACCCCAACAGCACGTTGCCCCAGACACCCAGCCCAGGCGTGCCTGCCCCTCCGGTCACTACTGAGACAAGGTACACAAACAACAGGCCTCGGGCACCAGGCACCCCTCTGGAGGGCGGGAGGCTGCTTCCTCTAGCAACTGCTCTGTTGACATAAACATAAGGCGTCCAGGGCTTTGAGCAGCCTTGGCCAGCGAAGAGGGGAGGGGGCCAAGGGTCTCCCAGAGTCTGAGGCTGGGATTGGAGAAGGCACCAGAATCACAGGGCAGGACAGGGTTTTCTGTGGAGGACACAATGCTTGCCTTGCCATGTGGGACACGCTGCCCTGGGCAAAATGGCGACTCCCGGGGCTTTAGTCCTGGTCACCATGGTCTCCATTCCAGTAGCTACTCCTGGCACTGCCCAGCTCCTGTGGCACTGCCTGGCTCCCAGGGCTGCCGCTTTCAGTCTTTGAAGAAAGTGATCTGATAAGGATCATGTACATTAAGGTGACTAATTCCTCTTTGAAGGGGTGTTTGCAAGGCCAAAGAACCTACTGGGAGGAGGTGATAAACTACAATCAACTTTTGAGAGGAGAATTTCAGCCCTTTAGATGAGAAATGTGTTGGAGTAGGCGCAAGTGGAAGTGTTAGAGGGATTTTTCTGGTGCTTCTCTTAGCAGATAATCTCTGTGTGGGCCAGGGAAACTTGAAAGGGACAAAAGCCCAGATGAACATGGTCGAGGCCCTGGTATGACCAGGATGGCTTCCCCTGGCTTGCATACCAGAAGAAGAGCCTGAACATATGGAGTGTCCTTGACATTTGGGGGTGCGACTGGGGGGAGGAGTCTGGGAGGCAGGCGAATGTTTTGGTGGGCTCTACCTGAGGATAGAAGAGGAAGGTCGAGATCTGAGAGTCCTCAGCAAAGTTGGGCTTTGGACTGAGTACCTTGTGAGCTGCTAATGAGAATCAGCAGTAGAATCTTTAAAACAAAGGGATTGTGTGCTTGGTTTCTGGAACTACAAGAAAGGGGACCTCTAGGAAGACTCTGAAACTGGGCTTGGGGTACATGGGAATGCCAAGAGATAAAGCAAATGGTGGCTATTCACAAAAGAAAAGAGACTTTGGAACCCTGGCCCAGGCCTGACAACATTCAGGGGCCTCCAGGCTTCCCCTGTGTATCAGCTCTACCTGCCTGTAGGTAGGAGCAGCCAGAGATGTGCAGAATAAACACTTCCTGCGCTCTGCCCTTCCTAGCCCAGCTGACCCACCTTTGTCCACTGGACATAGACCTACCAGTCTGCCCTCTCACCTAGCTCCTCTATGTCTCCATTCTGCAGATAACGGCAAAGTGAGGAAGAGTGAAGATTTAGGGGAGGAAAGGATGGACTAGGATACAATAGAATGAGATATGCCACCTCCTGGGTCTGCTATTTTACCTAGTGCCTCTCCAGCCACTGGACGGGAGATCTGCAGAGCCTTATGATCTTGTCTGTCTCCCACTTACCAAATCAGAGGCAAATGGAAAAATACTGCCTCAGAACAAAATGCACACACAGAATTTGGATGGTGGAATCCTGGGATACAATTACAAAGAGAAGAGGCAGCTCCAAGCCTATTTAGGCACAACTATTAGTAACAAGAGAGGAGGGCCAAAGGCAGGTGTCCACCAGGCTGGGCTCAGAACTGGGAAGTGGGGTAAGGAGAAAGACAATAGGCCCAGGGCGGTCGGGAGACTGTGGGATTAGAGGCTCCCTTCACCAGGAACCAAGGAGTTGGGGCAGAGGGGGATTTTAAGGACAACTTTGGAGTCAGAGGATAAGAGTTCGGACTTGGGATTCTGCTCTTTCATGCTGAGTTTCTGCACAAGGCCAAAAATCTTTTTAGTTTGGCTCATGCTGTATCAGGCAGTCATGGCAGCCCAGGGCTTGGGATGCTGCCCAAATTAAGCTTTCTTCTAGGGCCAAGTCCAAAGCATGGGTTAGCGGCTCCAGTCTGCCCTGAGGAGGTCAGAGTAATACCATAGGCATTGGACCTCTTTATGGAGGTTCCACCTAACTTCTAGAATGAGCTGGTAACCTGGATAAAATTGGTAGCATATATTACAACGCATATATTATTATGAGATGATAATAATGATAATGGAAGATACATCTAGGGTGCCCACTTGCCAAGATCACACAATGGTAGTGGAGCTGGGGTAAGAACCCATGCAATGTGGCTTCTGAGCTCATCTCCGTCAATTAGTATTTATAGCTAAAAGTTGCACCAGCTTACCAGTTAATAGATAACAGAGTCAGTATCCAACCCCAGGTTGGTCTGACTCCTTGGCCGTTATGCAAAACACTGTACCCTATTGCTTTCATTCCCCAAGATGATCTGATTTCCTGGGTCTGAAATGAAGTGGGGCTGGAGTCCCAAGTCCCTCAGGTGGTCTCTGGAGCACACTGAGAAGCAATGCCCTGCAGCCGTGGTTCTCGGTTGAGCTGCACACTAGCACCAGGAGTTTCCAAAATGATTAAAACCTTTCTGTTGTTTTTTCAGTTGTTCCGAAGTAGCGGTGGGGCATAGGGGTGGGGGCAGGTTGCTGGTCAGCCTTTGTTTTGAACGCATGACAATGCATTCATTTAATCATTCAATTAATCAACAAATAAAAACATACTAGCACCTACTCCGTGCTCTGCCCTGCCCTGGGGCTGGAGATACAAAGGTGGGTGGGACACTGTGTGTGTCCTCCTGGGGTGCCGGTGACCTGACGCTCTGGGCTGAGCATGCCCTTGGTGGAGGAGGGGAGGCTGCAGACTCCCTTTCTTGGGTGAGCTCTGGAAAGAGCCACTCCTCTCCTCAAATTATGCTGCCCTCGTGGCTTCTCACCCGAGAGCACACAGTTTGTTTCAGCTCTAAAACTCAGCTCACAAAACCTCAGATTGTCAAGGCTAAACGAACTCTGAGAAATGATCTGTGCTCAAGCGGCTGACAGAAGTGCTCAGGAGCTGTTAAATCTAAAGATGCCAGGAGCCCACCCGCAACGTTCTCATTTATGCGTCCTTAGCGGGGTCCGTGGAATATGTAAAAAGCTCCCAACAGCTGTGGTTCTCAGCCTTGGCTGCACCTGAGAAGGTCTCAGGGAGTTTTAAAAATGTTGGTGCTCAGGCCTCCTCCCTGGAGAGGCTGATCAGGATTTTTAAACGCTCCCAGTGATCTCATGATGTAGCAGGTGGAGACCCCCTACTGCAAGGTGTCTGGGCCTTCCAGCTGATCTTATTAAAGATTTGGGGACGTGAACCCAGGGGCGGTCACTCCTTGCCACCATCAGGGCCTTAAAACCAGGGCAGAAGAAAATCAGAGAAGGGAGGAGACAAAAATTTAAAAGCCACTAAAAGGTTTAGAAAAAGCGAAGCAAGATAGAAATCTGAATATGCAGCTCCTGTGAATTCACCTGTCAGCACCCTGAGGCTTAATCTCTTTTTTTCAATGTTCTTTGCTTTATTCTAATAGTAATTAATTGATGTAAAATAAGGAAAGCATAGGAATGTATGAAAGCAAAACTGGTCTATAATCTTATTTATCAGACATTCATAACTTATATATCATACAACCATAATATGTTATAACTGGATATTGTGTCATAAATCTGATATGCAAATTAATGTATAATATATACTACATAACCTTAACATATATAATTAGTATCTTTTTTTTTTTTTTTGAGACAGAGGAGTCTCCCTGTGTCGCCCAGGCTGTAGTACAGTTGCATGATCTCGGCTCTCTGCAACCTCTGCTTCCCGGGTTCAAGCGATTCTTCTGCTTCAGCCTCCCGAGTAGCTGGGACACAGGTGTGCATCACTGCTAATTTTTGTATTTTTAGAGACAGGGTTTCACCATGTTGACCGGGCTGGTCTCGAACTCCTGACTTCATGATCCACCTGCCTCGCACTCCCAGTGCTGGCATTACAGGTGGGAGTCACCAGGCCTGGCTTCCTAGTGCCCTTCTATTAAGTGTATTTTTCTGTTTTGGCTTTTTTGTCACTTTGTAAAAGGCTTTCGTTTTTCAGATAATGAAACGTCTGAGTGCTAAATCGTTTTGCCATGTGGGGAGGGCATGTGAGTGGAGGCAAACTGGTAAGCCCACCCCTTGCCTTCACACATTCATTCCTGCGCACACACTCACATACAGGCTTCTATTCCCACTCTGCCGCCCTAGGCATCATATTATACATTCAAACACACGCTTCACATCATACCCTCAGAGTTACTAATAGGATTTTATTATTTAGATGTAAAATTAGTTTCCCCCCCTTTCCCATTTTTCTGATTTCTAAGGAAAAAAGGCACCAGGGGACCCAGGAGTGTGGTCCCATTGGGGTGAGCCCTAGCTCCACAGCCCTGCTTGCAGACTCTTCCTCCCCACCCTGGCCATCCCTCCTCTCCCTTTCCCTAGGGCCTCAGTTGCTCTTCTCCGTGGGCAGAGGCTGGTGCACTGGACAAAGGCTGTCCCTCCACAGGTGGTAGGTGAGGGCTGCAGTCACGGTGAGCCAGGCTAGGTAGGGCAGCAGTAGCAGGGCAGCTAGCTTGTTGATGGGATGCCAGATGAGTGCCGTGCTCACCACCAGCCCATACAGCAGCAGCAGGTGCAGCAGGGCCTGGGCACAGGGGCTGAGGGTCAGCTGGCTGCCCGAGAACCGGCTCCTCCACCTTTCTGCAGTACCCAGCCCAGCATCAAGCTAAGTCCCTGGGGCTCTGTGCACACAGTGGGAGTGCAGAGAAATCTGCCCACCTGTTATCTGCCTGCACTCGATTGCTCTGCTGAATTATCTGCTCTGGGGTCTGTTGGTTTCACCCTCTCCCACATTACTTCTACTACTGAGCACCGTTGCCTTACCAGACCAGGGTTGTGGACTATGAAAAAGAGAACCAGGACAGTCCAGCTGATGGTGAGCTGAAGAGCATAGAGGCCGAGAGGCAGGGCCAGGGACCACCCCAAGCCCCCTCTCAGGTCCTTCCACACCAGGTAGGAGGCGTAGCTGTGGAGAGATGGCAGCAAAAACACTCAATGGAGGGGGTGCCATGGCAAATGGAGGAGGCTCTCTGGCACAAAAACTCTTGGATATCCTTATGGGCTGAAATGGGGGCAGATATGTCTAGGCATCATTTGAGGGCCAGGGAGGGCGTTGTTAGGAGAAGCTTGGCACAGCGAGGTCGGGGAGGGGGTAGGGAGACTTAGGGTGGAAGAAAAGCTAGCTGGAACCCCAGGCAGCCTCAGAGGGTTTCTTACTTTCTGGGGGGCCCACCATAAGTGGAAAGACAAAGTGCCTGCCTTTGAAGGCCAGTATATGGCAGTAATTTGCATATAGGGGACTTGCTCCCACCCGGTGGGTACTGGGGCCATAGGTGAGAAACAAGGACTCACCCCACGACAGAGTAGATGATCGTCTGTACCAGCAGTAGGACTTTGTGGAGCGGGCACCAGGACAGCATCCTCGGGTCCTCACACCAACCAGACATCTGATTACGAGTGAACAGCCAGACCAGGATGGGCCCCAGGTGGGGCAAGAGCACAAAGATGGCCCCTTGAAGCCGCATTCACCTTGAGGAGGCAAAATCTGGGAAGGCAGAGAATATGCTACTGATGAGCCTTCCCCTGTGTCTCCTCGTCTGTCTCTGCCTCCTAACCTGACTCATTTCCTGGCTTGAGCCCCTCAGAGGAAGTCTAATCCCGGAGGTCCTTCCTCTCTCCCTGGCCAGCTCCAGTCCTGTGCCTCTGAGCACTCTCCATCCCCAGGCCCCAACTTGCCCATCTTCTGGCTTCCGTGGACTTTTTTTCTCCATAGCACTCTTCTGGCACTTGGTGGACACTTGGCCCAGCACTGATAACCGCTTCTGAGTGAAAGTCCTTCCCCCTTGTGCATCTGACTCCTGGAGATCAGGTCCTGAGTGACCAGCTTTTCTGCCTCCCACAGTGGGCAGCTCTTCAGGGTGTAGCTGGCCCTCACCAAGAAATTTTCTACCTAAGCTGACAGCAACTAACCTGGAAAGACCACGATCTGAAAGCAGGAGCCAGAGATTCCTGGGGCTGTTTTCTAGTCACGAATGGGGTAGCCCATCTGCCCTAGGCTTATCTCACAGTATCAGACTGGTATACTCATGGGGCCCACCCAGGCTGACCTCCTGCCCAAATTCACACTCAGCCTGTTGACACTGTGGATTCCTTTCTCTGCAGCCTTAGCTCTCTTCTACCCCTGGAGCTGTGGGGGATGAGCTTCCTGCTCCATCTTTCCATTTCCAGAGGGTCAGCAGGTAAGCACAAGCATCCAGGTTTCTTGTGGCCTGACTTTTCAAGGAAACAACGCCTGGTCTTTGATTAAAAAGCTGCCATGCTGACTGGCATGTTGCTTTGAATGTCATTGGCATGTGGGACAATGTACAGACCCTCCTCCAACCAAGGCCCCAGCTAATATCGTTCTTCTCATTTGTTCATGATTTCAGCCTCCCGCCATGATTGACCAGATTTGAAGAGCAGAAAACAATCTATTTTCAGTGTTCTGGACTGACTACCTAATCCGTCCTTTTTTTTTTCTTTTGATACAGAGCTTTGCTCTTGTTGTCCAGGCTGGAGTGCAATGGTGAGATCTCAGCTCATCGGCTCACTGCACCCTCCGTCTCCCAAGTTCAAATGATTCTCCTGCCTCAGCCTCTTTAGTGGCTGGGGCTACAGGTGTGCGCCACCGCCGGCTAATTTTGTATTTTTAGTAGAGATGAGGTTTCGCCATGTTGGTCAGGCTGGTGAACTCCTGACCTCAGGTCATCCCCCCGCCTCAGCCTCCCAAAGTGTTGGGATTACAGGCGTGAGCCACTGTGCCTGGCCCTAATCCATCCTTTTCTGTCAAGGGTCAGGGACACTGGTCCTGGAGGTTCTGGGACAGAGCTGAGCAGCATGCCTGCCTGTGCATCTTTTCACTCGTCTTTCTCTGCTCCTCACTGCCCATTTGCTCATCTTATGCCTTCCTGTTTCTCTATATTTCTGTCCAGTGGTGGAGGCCCCCTCCCTGCCCCTTGCCGCCCCCATCCTCTTTTCTCCTGACACTCATCACTCCCAGTGCCTCCCGGTTCCCAGGCCTGGGCTCCCCTTACCTCGGGCAGCACACCTCCCAGGCAGGGTGCCTGATGACGTATGATGTGTGGACGGCAGAGGAGGGTGGGGCTGGCAGAAGGGTGGAGTGGTTCTCCCAGCTGGTCTGCCTTTCTCAGATGACAAGGGTGGTGACACTGGCTGGGAAGTCCAAGTTGCTGTTTCATGGCTCCAAAGAGTTTCTCTCAGGAGGGGCCCCCTGGCCTGCCAGACCCTTCTTGATGTCTGGCCTCTGGAGGCTACCGCTTGATGAAATGTTTGAGGGTTTGTGGTGAGGGTTTGAACACTGTGACACCTGGACCTCCTGTGACAGCTCAGCCCCAAGTTATAATGCTATTGATGCCTGTGGTCTCTGCATCCCATGAACCAGCTCTGTGGCCATGGGAGTGAGTGGTAGGAGCCCTCAAATTTCTCCAGATCCTCCCTATAACTGGGATTGTCCCCAAGGGTGGCAAGCACCAGCTTTGGAAGTAAGTTCATGATCCATGAACACAGCCCCTGCTTATAGCCTTCTGGTTGGCATGACCCTTCCTGGCTTAGAACCCTAGCTTGACAGATGATTCACAAACCCCTAGGACTTTAGGACTCAGAGGAGGAGGCAGCTGACAAGTGGAGGTGGGTGGGGAGTCAGGCGGGAGTGACCTGGCCCTCCCTGGCAGAAAGTCCTGCCTCCCAGCTGCCCTAAAGAGGGGTAGGGGAGAGTGTCCCTGTCTGTTGGCAAGGTCCAGTCTCCTGTGTGACTCAGAGCTTTGTTCAACAAAGACAAACAGTCCTACCTGACTCCCTTTGTTCCCCGTCAAGTTTCCGAGCACCCCTTCCTGGCTTGTCTTTAGGCATGAGGTCTGCTTCCCAGGTTGCCTGCTCTCTACCCATTCCTTTGCTACATCTCTGCACTTTAGGGAAGTGGGCTCCCCTGGGAGATTTATCCCACCCTCTCACCTCCACCAGGGAAAGAAGCAGAGGGGAGGGATTGCAGTCAGAGACAAGAGGCTAGAGAATTATTAACTGAGACAAGGCAGAGGAAGTTACTTATTTTCTATGGGAGATGATAACTAGGGGCCTGGGGGTATTCGCCAAGCCTCCTCAACTACAGGAGGCCAGACTGTGGTGACAACGGTTACCACCTATTGACCACCCATTTTGTGGTGAGCATTTTACATATATTAGCTCAATAACGACAATTACTATCTCACACAAGGTAGATATTCTTATCCGCATTTGGCAGACAAGGGAATTGTGAGGCTAAGAGGGGGTAAGTGGCTTGCCCAATATCACACAGCCAACATGTGGCTCACCTGGGTTCAGAGTTGGCTGCTTGGATCCAAAATGCTTCTTCTTCCCTCAACTGCTTCACTCATTCATTCAAGACATCTTTATTGAACACTTTCTATCTGTCAGGCTGTCCCAGGAGCTGAGGGGATAGCAGACAACATGGGAAATGTCCCTCTCCACAAGGAGTTTTTACTCTTGTGATACCATCTCTCCTAGGCAGAGTTTCTAAGAACTCCGAATGGCAAACGGCCCCAAAGTTCAACTGTCTCCCAAGCAGCAGTGTCTCCTGCCAACTCTGGGTGAGGGAAGTAGAAAGCACATTGTGTGAGGAACAGATATGGGTACATCTCAAGTCCACCAGCACCTAGGGAGTCATTAACCCTCTCAGTGCCTCCACTAAGTCTTCTCTGTGCAGGGAGCAGTTGGAACTAGATACTCTTTAAGCTCCCTGGACCGGTTGCATTGGCATCACCCGGGAGCTTCTTCAAGCTGAAGAATCTCAGGCCCCACAGCAGAGCTACACAATCAGAGCCTGAATTTTAGCAAGATCTCCCAGGTGACACTTGTGCGTGTTATAGTTTCAGAAACTCAGATTAAGATTCCCTTCTCCTACTATCTGCAATTTAATAATAGCCTCGCTGGGTGTGGTGGCGCGTGACTGTAGTCTCAGCTACTGGGGAGGCTGAGGCTGGAGGATCTCCTGAGTCCAGGAATTCTGGGCTGTAGTGCACTATGCCGATCTGGTGTCCGTGCTAAGTTGGGCATCAATATGGTGACCTACCAGGAGCAGGGGACCATCAGGTTGCCTAAGGAGGGGTGAACTGGCCCAGGTTGGAAACGGAGCAGGTCAAAACTCCCGTGCTGATCAGTAGGGGGATCGCACCTGTGAATAGCCACTGCACTCCAGCCTGGGCAACATAGCAAGACCCCGTCTCAGACCCCATCTCTTAAAAAATAGAAAAAAAAATTAATAATAGCCTCTGGCTAGGGACAGCCACTCGCCAGCAGAGGGCACTGTAGGGAGGAGTTTCAAGGTGCAGCACCTATACCTAGGTTGTCTCCCTCCCTCCCTCCTTCCTTCCAGACCTAGACTGGCAAGTTCACTGACTTGTGGGATCCTCTAGCTACTCCCTTACCTGGGCTGGACTTTGCCAATAGATAGGGACACTCTCCCTCACCCCTCTTTAGGGTGGCTGGGAGGCAGGACTCTGCCAGGAAATGCCAGGCCACTCCTGCCTGGATTCCCCGCCCACTTCCACCTGTCTCCTGGCCTGCTGACTGGGTCTGGCTGACCTCTTTCTAGAGAAGGAACTGGACCAGCCAGCAGCCTCTAAGAGTACCTAGACGGTAAGGTGAGCACCCCCTTGGGGCAGCTGGAGAGGGGATGGGCATTGCGATGGGGTTACCTGGAGCTCCAGGGAGGAGCCAGCCCAGCTTAGCCTGCCTGCTGGAGTGTAGGGACTCTCTGCTGGAGGAGGGGAGGAAAACGGGACTTGGTCAATGGGTATGAGGACTACTGGGAGGATTCTATGTCTTGCGGAAATGTCTATTATATTAACAAATGCTATTCATGGCTTGTGTTTGGACCATCCATTCCAGTACTTGTTATGTAGTAGCTGGCCATCTCTCAGGAGTTGGGGAGGCACAGGGAGAACCAGTGAGGTGGAGGAAGGGTTGAGAGTTTTCTTAAAGGATGTGAGCAGAACTTGTCAGCAGGAGTTTGGATCTTTGTGCTGCAGGATGCAACTGCCTAGGGACAGGTGATGGCAACATTCTAAAGGACTCTCATTTTGGGGACCTGCTACCCCGGATGATCTGGGGTCTGGGCTAAGACAAACTGGAGACGTGGGTAATGAGGAGTCCAGGCATGGGGTTGGGAAGCTCCAGGTCACACTTGAATGGCTGCAGTGCCATAGATACCTCTCAGCAAGAATGGGGCCATTTGCCATTCCGAGTTCCTTTCCCCGTTCTGGAGCCAGAGGGAGGATAGAGTGAGGGCCAGGACAGCCTGAAAGAGCTGTCAGCCTGGGAAACCCGGGGCTGGCCCAGGAGGCGTTAACCTGCTTCAGGCCAGATAAAGGAATGGCCTCCGTAGGAGAGGCCTGGTGGGGCTTTGGGAGCGGTGCATGCCAACTGCTCCAGGGTAGGAGGCTGAGCCAGGGGCTCTGCTGCACCACCCAGTGAGCTGCACCTCACTGGGGATCTGGACTCTGCTCTTTGGTGGCCCCAGGGAGGTTGCTGCTGTGTAAGCAAGGTGGGGTGCCTCTTTTCTTCCCTTTAGCCATTCTATCCCTTGCCACTGGTGCCTTGGTGGGTGGGGGTGTGGTGGGGGTTGGGCATAACCGCGGAACTCAGGATGCACCTTCCGTTCCTTCTATTTGTTTTTACTTCATTTTTGCTTCTTTCTCTTCCAACTTCATTTCTTCTAGAGAAGGAAAGAAAGATACTTGAGGAAAAAGAAGGGGTGGACAGAGAAAAGGGGGCGTCTCTGGAAGTCCTTGCTCATCCTTGCTCCTTCTGCCTGCCTGTCTTCAGTTGTTTAGCAATTCCCTATCCATCCTCACTGTGGGGAGAAAGCTCGGATTCCTTATCTGTGAAATGGAGATAAAAATAACACCTAGCTCCTAAGGCTGCCGTGAGGATGAGATGGGACAGGCTGTGGAGAGTGCTTTAACACAGGGGCACTGAGTAAAGCTCTGCAAATGTTAGCTATTGTTATTACAGTTGAAATAATGATTACTAATGTGGGAGAGCCAAAAGGAATGATGGGACATCAAGGGCCGCTTGCTGCTTCAAACCCTTTCCCATCACCTGATTCACCTGTGTGCCCTCCAAGAGGCCTGGCTGAAGAAGGCTGGTGCATTGTCTGCAGGACTGGCTCTTTAGGCAAAGAGAACAAACTTCTGCTTCCTCTTCACATTTTCAGTGAGGCCATGGGGGCAGCAGGTCCTGCCCCAGTCTTCAATCCTGAGGATAGAGTGGAGCTTCTGCCCCAGTCTGGGAGGCACTGGGAAAGGGCTTTAGTTTTCATGGGTCCTGAGGATGGAAGAAAGAAGGTGGGCCAAACATCAGTTCCAGGTGGGTAGTGCGAGTGAAGGGCACGGGGAGGACTGGACATGGGAAGCTGTCCCAGTGCAGCCTCTAGTGAGTCAACTGGAGGGGCCTCCCAGGGCTCCGAAGGAGGATTCGGTGCCTCACAAAACTCAGCTACCAAGCCAGTGAATTCCATTCCTGCAGAAGCTCCTTGAGAGCGAAATAAGACATCATCTTTGGCAGGACTGAACTTCCCACAGTGTCCGATACACAGCCGGTGCATAGAAAATGTTCATTTGAGTGGGAAAATCACACATGGCAGCACATAATGAAGAGTGACTCAGTGCGGTGGGATGGCTGTGGAGGTTTCAGTGAGCTGGAGACTGTCAGAGGCTGGTGCGCCAGCGGGAGGCGCTATTGAACGGGAGGGTCCACGTAGGGAGAGGAAACAAGTGGGGAGTGCAGGTGAGTGGAGAAACAGAAAACACCATGAGCGAGAGCCAGAGGCTAGAACTGAGCAGGTGTGGGGAGCCTGGGCTGGCTCCTGGGCAGGGGTGATGGAAATTGCAGGGACTGGAAGAGGGGAAGTAGGAGGAGGCGGAGGAGGGTTCTGGAGGGTCTCAGAAAGAGCTTCTGGGACTTCTCAGCCTGTGGCCTGGCTGGGTAGCAAGGTGACCAGGAGGCGAGTGTGTACTTTTGCGCTGCCTCATTCCAGCCTCACTGTAGGCCCTCGCCTTTTTTTCTTCTTTCTTTTTTTTTTTTGCTTCCACTTTTAGCTTTTGTTACTCTTGTTGTATGTCGCCTATCCCTGTGAGCTACCTTCAGGCCTTTCTGGCAGAAGGAGGGACATAAAGAAACACTTGGACTGTGCTTTATCATGTACGAATACTTTTCACATGACCTTATGCCATCCTCACCATTACCCAAGAGGCACTTTTTCCCCACTTTTAACAGCTTTAGAAAAAAATTACAAAGTTAATACAAAATACATGCTTGATGTGAAAGATTCAAAGTTCAGAGAAAAGGATTTAAGAAAATACAAAGCTTTGGTTCACCCCTTCCACCTTCTCAGTGTGCTGTGACCCTTGGGAATAGTCTGGGGGGTGTGTCCTTCCAGAGCTGCATGGTCTAAGACTGGGCTCACTAGTACATGTGGCTACTGGGCACCTGAAATATAAGCCGGTCCCAAGTGAGCTGTTCTGTTCATATAAATTACACATGGATTTCAAAGACTGGGTATGAAAGAAGAAAGTAAAAGTATCTCATAATTTTATATTGATTGCCTGTTGAAATAATAACATTTTGAATATATTGGGTTAAATAAAATGTATTAATTTATCCCGTTTCTTCTTTCTAATGTGGCCATCAGGAAATTTAAAATTACATGTGTAGTTCACATTACATTTTTATTATATACTACTGCTTTAGACCTTTCTCTATACCTTTACATTTATATATATGCATCCAAAAATATGTATCTATTTATATGCAGTTTTGTTTTTCACATTAATGAGCTCAGAATATTTTATCTCTCTGCAACTTGCTTTTTCTGCTTATAGATTTTTCTGTATCAGCGCTTGTAGATCAAGGCAGATATTTGGACAGATGAGGAAACTGAGATACATTAAGCAATATTGAGGCAGGAGGTGGGACTTGATTCCTGACCAGATGGAAAACTGGCTGAAACAGGGAAGAGGCACCAAAGCACCCCTCCATAAGACATGCCCACCAGTGCCATGACAGTTTACCACTGCCATGTCAATGCCTGGAAGTTACTGCCCCTTTCCATGGCAGTGACCCGAAGTTACCACCCCTTTTCTAGAAATTTCTGAATAACCCGGCCCTTATTGCATGTAATTAAAAATGGACATAAATATGATGACAGAAATGCCCCCAAGCTGCCAATCTGGACACACTGCCTAGGGTTAGCCCTGCTCTGCAAGGAGCATACCTCTGCTGCTGCTGTACTCTGCTACTTCAATGAAAGTTGCTGTCTAATACCACTGGCTCTCCCTTGAGTTCTTTCCTAGGTGAAGCCACAAACCCTCCCAGGCTAAGCCCCAATTTTGGGGCTCTCCTGCCCTACATCAATATGATAAGCTTACCCAGCCACAGTGACCAAGGTGGCATTTGAACTCATGTTCTCTAACTGTAAACCCAAGCTCACTCTACTTCAGAGCAGTTTATCTTGATGTATGAGGTCACGGGGAGCCAGAATAGGTTCTTGAGTAAGAGAGAGGGGTTAAAGGAGTGTGCAGGGTGCGCTGGAATGAAGACAACTTGCAGTTATGTGGAAGCCAAGCTTTCAACTCCACAACTTAAAAGGGCTTACCCTGATACTGACCCCTTCTTCCCCTCCAGGCCTTTGGCTTTGGCTGGCCCGGGGTGAAGGAGAGCCGGCAGCATTGAGTGACCACGTGAATGTGCCCCCAGGAGAGTTCGTTCCAACCCTCCCAGTTCCTATTGCTGGTGGGGGTCCCAGTGGCAAGTGTCCTTCTTCTGGCCCAGTGCCTTCGATGGCACTGTCCTAGAAGGCTGCTGCAGGCCTGCTGGATGCCAAATGGTCAAGAGGAACCAGTGTCCCAGCCTACCCCCCCACCAGAAGACGAGGTCTCAAGGCAGCACCTGCCAGCCACACTGCCAGAGTTGGCTGCCTTCTACCAGGAGCTGCACACGCCCACTCAAGGCCAGACCGTGGTCCGCCAGCTGATGCACAAACTGTTGGTATTTTCGGCTCGAGAGGTGGATCACCGTGGTGGTTGCCTGATGCTCCAGGATACAGGCATCTCCTTGCTTATCCCGCCAGGTAACAGCTCCCGGCTCTCTTCTCCGCATACAGTTGTTAGATTCAGACCGTGCATTAGGTCACCACATCTGAGGGAGCAATGTTCATAGACACCTTTTACTTCTGATAATTGTTTGTATTTTGAGTACAGCTTTATTGACTTCAGGGATGGACATATCACATATCTTTTAGGCCAACTTCCCGGCAGGTGGAAGTAAAGTGCCCTGTTCTGATGAACCAGCATGCTGTGACGATTCTGCAGTAAAGGGAGGGAAGAGCACCATTTGCAAACTCACACAAGGCGCACTATGGGCTAGCAGCAGCCTGGGAGGAAAGGGCAGTGCCTTGCTTACACTAAAGTCAGCTCTACAGTCATCTTGCTCTTGTTCATACCACCTCCCTGTGCGTCCCACTGGGGATGTCTCTCCTGGGCTTCTGCCCCACCTCCTTTCTCTCTGGCCTGGCCTCTTTCAGGGCAGGGGTGTGCCTGCCTGCAGGCCCATCTCAGCTCTCGCTCTCCTCCCCAGGTGCTGTGGCTGTGGGCCGCCAGGAGCGGGTGTCTTTGATCCTGGTGTGGGACCTGTCAGATGCCCCATCGCTGTCCCGAGCCCAGGGGCTGGTAAGCCCTGTGGTGGCGTGTGGACCCCATGGGGCCTCCTTCCTGAAGCCTTGTATCCTCACGTTCAAACACTGCGCCCAGCAGCCCAGCCAGGCTCGCACCTATAGCAGCAACACTGCCCTGCTGGATGCCAAGGTATGGAGGCCGCTGGGGAGGCCGGGGACCCATGCCTCCCGGGATGAGTGTCGCATCCACCTCTCCCACTTCAGGTAGGCACATGCCATTGGGCTGTCTTCCCACACCCATCTCTCTGGGGGCTGTCTTTCCTGCCCACTTTCTCTGTCTGCCTTATCTTCGTCTCTCTGTATAGAAGATGGTCTGCAAATCCTTTATGCCCTGTTGTCCCTTTCTGGGTCCTCTCTCCTCATGTCTGTAGCAGTTTTTCTCATACCAATCATATCTAGGACTGCAAATCCCACTGCTGTCTCTCTGTCTGGAAGTGTCTGACTCAGCCCCATCTCTCTATCTAGAGGGGACCTGCCCTTCCCCACCTCTCTCTCTCAAATTATCTCTGTCTATTCTGTGCCTCTTTCAGGTCTGTCCCCAAACTTCGCACCAGTTCTCTAAGACTCCATTCCATCTCTGTCCTTGATTTCTTTGTCTTTCTAGAGTCTTAGGTCCTCTGCTTCCCAGCCTCCTTGCTACCAATTGATAGGAGTATAGCCATGTGCAGGTGCCCTCCCAAGCGTGGTGACCCTGAGCCCACTTTCCCTGTCTCCCCTGCCAGCTGTCCTCCCCATTCAGTCACCGGTCACCATGATGTGCTCACTTTTCATCCCTCACATCCCTATGTGCTCCCCTCAAGTGCTCTCTGAACCTCCTCGAAGAGCCCATAGAGGCCCCTTGGGTTGCAGGAGCCTGGTGGCAGGTGTGCTGGTGTCTTAGCCTTCCCTGCACACCAGTGTCTGACACCGGCTCCCTCTGCAGCCTCTACACCTGTGTGCTGGAGGCACCTGTGGGGCGTGAAGCCCGCAAATGGCTGCAGCTGGCAATATTCTGCTCACCGCTGGCACCAGGACAGTCTCACCTGCAGCTGCGTGTCTACTTCCTCAACAACACGCCCTGTGCCCTGCAGTGGGCCCTGACCAACGAGCAGCCCCATGGTGGGCGCCTGCGTGGGCCCTGCCAGCTCTTCGACTTCACTGGGGCCAGGGGCGACCAGTGCCTGAAGCTCACTTACATCTCAGAGGGTGAGGGAGGCACTGGCCCGTGGGACAGGATGATCAGGAGCCCCACAAGAATGAAGGGTTCTGGGCCTCCCCTGGACATCTAGGGACCCCAAATCTCTTTTTCCCCCCTGAGATGGAGTTTTGCTCTGTTGCCCAGGCTGGAGTGCAGTGGCATGATCTCAGCTCATGGCAACCTCTGCCTCCTGGGTTCAAGTTATTCTCCTGACTCAGTCTCCAGGGCTGCTGTGATTACAGGTGCCCACTGCCATGCCTGATTAATTTTTTTTGTATTTTTAGTAGAGAAGGGGCTTTACCATGTTGTTCAGGCTGGTCTCGAACTCCTGATCTCGAGTAATCTGCCTGTCTCAACCTCCCAAAGTGTTGGGATTACAGGCGTGAGCAACTGTACCAGGCCCCAAGTCTCTTTTTGTGACCTCTGGGCCAGCAGTAGCCTCATGGAGCCCCTAAGGCTTTGACTACTCTGCTGTCTACTGAAGCCTTGCCACTCACCTCTAGGACAGGGTGATATCAGGTGGGAGGTGGGGAGGAGAGGGCTTATACCCCACAGTAGCAGGGAGGAATGGAGGGCTTTTACAGGATGCAAGGGGATTCTTGGGGTCCCTGCTAGGCTCTGGGGATTCCCATCCCCTTGAGACCCTCCTGCCTTTGTTCTGTCTTCATGCCTTCCTACAACCCCATCAATACTTGTGGAAGGCCCCACTCTGAGGCCCTCTGCTCTCTGCCTAATCCCCAGGTTGGGAGAATGTGGATGACAGCAGTTGCCAGCTGGTTCCCCATCTCCACATCTGGCATGGAAAGTGCCCCTTCCGCTCCTTCTGCTTCCGGAGAAAAACAGGTAGCCCAGGAGCCCTGTGTGCACCTCTTCCCCTCTCTTCTCCTCTCCTCCCTTCCCTGTAACCCTGGAGCTCTGCAGACCCTCATGCAGCCATGCACACAGACCTTCCCTTAAAGGCCAGGAACTACACAGATCTTTGCAGACAGAAAAATGAAGTGTTCAACCCCAGCTTCTTCAGATTTCCCAAGTCTTACTGTAGAGTCCCTTACCTTCTCCTGCTCTTACCCCGGGCCTTTTCCTCACTCACTGGCCACACTCTTGCCTTCTCTTTATAGCCAGTGAGAATGAGGACTGCTCAGCCCTAGCCAATGAGATCATTGTCACCATGCACACCTTCCAGGATGTGAGTTGGAGCTGAGGGGCAAAGGAAGGGCAGGGCCTGGGGGGGAATCCTGGGCAAAGTGGGCACAGGGTCTGGTGTCCCGTAACTGTGGTCCCAGTCACATAGGTAAGAATGGCATTTTCCACAGAGCCCCCGTACCAGCTCTTTGAGGGTCTCAGATCATCTGGGCTCCGGGTTAGACTTGATCCCTGACTCTCCTTGTCTATTGGTGAATGAATCCAGCAGGAAGTTAAAAAGAACCAAACCCTAGTTTAACCCCTTCTCCCAACTCAGAGAACCGGGGCATCAGGTTGATATGGTTTCTCTCTAGGCTGACTGTCTATATTTGAGAGATGATGTTTTGTATCTTCATTGTGGGAAGTGACCAGGAAGAGGGTCTTGAGTAGGTGGGATGGGAGTTAGTTACCTCTCCTCTCCTCCTGCTGCACCAAGGGAAGATGCGAAGAAATCAGAGTTGAGAGTCTTCGGGGAACCATAGTGGGGTCTTAGTGGAGAGCAGGCAGATACCCTGTTGTCACTTGGAGAAGAGGAAGGGAAAGGTGGAATGGAGGGAGGAACACACATGCCTGAGATCAGTGTCTCTGGGGTTGGATGACCTCCCACTGCCCCATGACTCACCGTGGACTTCCCCAATGGCTTAGGATGTGCCCTATTTCGTCGTCATGCCCCAGTTTCCAAAGAGCTCAGTGGGCAAACATAAGACTGAGGGTGGGGTTCTGAAGTCGGGGAGACAGAGGGTAGAGGGTGCTGGGTGGAGCAGGGTTGTATCTTCTGGTAAGGTGGCTCTGAGTGACAGACTGAAGGAGAGACATGAGGAATGGAGGTAGGACTCTAGCTTCTTCCTCGGGGGTGCCTTGTGACCCCTAAGTGTATTCCCTGCCCCATGTTGACTCAGGGCTTGGAGACCAAGTATATGGAAATCCTCAGATTCCAGGCGTCAGAGGAGGAGTCCTGGGCAGCACCACCTCCCGTCTCCCAGCCGCCCCCATGCAATAGGTGAGACAGGTTGCTTGGGCTGCTGCCTGGGGGATGCTGGGCTCCTACCCCAGCACCCACAGGGTGACTACAGCATTTCAAGTATGTATGGGAGAACCATACTGGGTCTTTTTGTCCCTTTCTTCCAAGAATGCCCATTTTCTTGCCTCAGGCTGCCCCCAGAGCTCTTTGAGCAGCTGCAGATGTTGCTGGAGCCAAACAGCATCACAGGCAATGACTGGCGCAGACTGGCCTCCCACCTGGGGCTTTGCGGCATGAAGATCCGGTAGGAAGAGGGTCTGTGGTTGGGAGAGGATGCTGGGCTGGGGCCAGGGTCCTCAGGACACTCTGGAGACTGGATCCCAGGCAAGGGAGTGACTAAAAAGTCAGAGAATTGCTACTCTCCACCCTATTTCCTATAAAAGGGCAGCTCTATTAATCACTGTATCATCAGTACCTAGAACGATGTCTGGTGTATAGTGGGTGCTCAATTCACATTTAACAATGAATCCATTAACATGAAAGTCATTGGGTATGTGTTGCGTGCTTGCCATGCTGTGCCCTGAGGATTAGAAAGGCAGATTATAGGATAATGTGTGTAAAGCATGTAGCTGGGTGCCTGGCACATGTTAATTCAATAAATGTTAGCAAGGAGGGTGACGGTGCAGTCATGATCCCTGTCAGGGACATCACAAAGAAAGCAGCAGAATATTTCTGAGCTAAGCTCTGAAAACTAGACTGTGAGTGCAGTGGTCAGGGAAGTCTTTATCCAGCTGATGGGCTTAGCTGGACCCTGAAAACAGGGTGGATTTTTAAATCATTCATTTATTTAAGCATTTATCAAGTACCTACTATGCCCTGGAAACTGCTAAGCACTGAGATACAAGATGAATGAGGCATAGTCCCAGCTCCTAGGAGCACACACACTAGTAAGGGGTTCAGAGAGCTTGAAAAATAATGGCAAGTGTCCCTTGTGCCTTCTTATAAGAATCCGTTATTGTATAACACTGAAGAGAGACAGAAAACAGCGGAAGCAAGAATAATAATGAACTGTGGGGTTATGACCAGAAGTCTGAACTGAGGGGTGCAGAATGGTCTCTTCCACCTGGGAGAGGGGAACTACAAAGGGCTTCCGGGAGGAAGTGATGGGGAAGAGGAGATCAGCCATTCTGTTTTGGGGAGCAGCAGTTTTGGGGTGTAGTGTGTGCAAGGCGGGAAAGAGAGAGGCCTGAGCTAAGGGAGAGAATGGGAGAAGGGAGAGAAAGCAGAAAGAGAGCACAAGGCCAGGTGGTGAATGAGCCGAAAAGGCTCATGAAGCATGGAGACTCTGGGAGGTTTTTGTGCACTGGAGGATGGTGATAAAAAGCCATGGTTTAGGGCAAGTGTTTCCTTAGTAGTGGGCAGGATGTTGTGGCCTAGGAGAGAGGAAGAAGGGAATTAGGAGGCTAGGGGTGTATTTGGGGTGGGGGAGGTAGAGAAGGCAATTAATTACAGAACATCAGAGCTGGAGCAAACTTAAAGGTCCTCTATCTAAGTCCACAGCTTCGTAAGAGGAAACTGAGGTCTAGAGAGGAGTAGGGCTCAGAGGTTAGCCTCCAAGCCCGGATAATCTCAAGTTTCAAAGTTCTGAGGCTTCCCCTGGAAGGCAGGCAAGAGCAGGACCAGGACCAAAGCTACAGGGTGGGGGAGGGACGGAGCTCGCCGCAGCGCAGCCCAGGGAGCCTGGAGGAGGGGAGGAGCCCCTCCCTGCTCCTTTCTCCTTCTCCTCTTCCCCTGCCTCCGCCCAGGTTCCTGTCCTGCCAGCGCAGCCCCGCAGCGGCCATCCTGGAGTTGTTTGAGGAGCAGAACGGCAGCCTGCAGGAGTTGCACTACCTCATGACTGTTATGGAACGGCTGGACTGCGCCTCCGCCATCCAGAACTACCTGAACGGGACACAGGGAGGCAGCCCTGGCCCCCAGCGCGGGGGCGCTCAGGATAACCAGGGCCTGGAGATGGACGAGAAGCTCTGAGCGCCGCCACGGGCAGGGCCGGGGAGGTGTGGGGGCGAGAGGGGTTGTCCCCCACACCTAAGAAGAACACAGCAGCTGTTCCTGGCCGTGCCCACCAGCCTTCCCTGAACCCTCTGACGGTGCCCGGGACGTCCGCGCCCGTCTTCCAGCAGTAAGACCGCCCTTCGGGTCGCAGACTGTCCCGCGTGCGGGTCCCCTCCTGGCCGGCAGAGGGCGCGGGAGCCCAGGAGATGGCCTCAGCGTGGCCCGCCTGCCGAAACTGACCAGGGGACGGCCAGTGTCTCCGCGTGCACTTTAGGGCCCCTGAGGCCCCAAGTACTCAGCACTTAGGAAGACCCAGCACTGGGCTGGTGTCATGAAGAATACTGGAATATAGGAGGTAGGGTCTGGAGCCCTGCCAAGCACACAGTTCTTTCACGGGAGCCAAGTGCAAACTCTAAAACAGCCCTGCACTGTCTTTAGGGGATTTGGGTGTGGCTTTAGGAGTCGAAAGGGGAAGAGCTGAGTGTGGGGTGGAGCAGCGAGGATGCTTCACGGAGGATGTTGGCGAGAGAGGATTTGACTTGCAAGTGGTTTGGAGATCTTTAAGTGCGAGTGGAGGAAGAGGGTGGCTGGACGTAGGGTAGGAGCGGAGAGTGGGCATGGGAGCCCAGCCCTATGGGTGAGACCCGGGTAGGACGAGGCTTCCCGGCCAGGCACGCTTGGCTGTCTGCCTCCGCCTCTACTAACTTCCTTTCTTTCTTTATCCTCCCGCCTGGGCCTCGTCTTCCCCTCTCGCTGGCATTATCTCTATCGAAAACATGAAAGCTGAGTAGAAACTTCAAGATGATCATTCTGGCCCAACCCTTTTATCTCTTTATCTCCAGCTGTGTGCGTTTTAAGTCTCTCTGACTTGGTTTTTCTGTCCCTGCCTCCCACAGTTGTTCCCTCTCTGCACCTGTTTCTGTTATTCTCTCTCCCTTGTCTAAGATCTTTTTGTCTTTGCTTAGTCTCTGTGGCCTGTCTTTGTGTGTTTCTTTCTCTGTCTGAAACCCCCAGTCTTTTCCCTTCAGGCAAGTGCCTCTAAACCAGTGTTATGTATCAAAGACTGTTGAAAGAGAGGGCTACTCTAGGTATGGATGGGTGGGGATATTTTCCCCATGGATTAAGATCCAGTTTAGGGTCGGGAAATAAAGGATAGGGATGAAAGAGCACCCCATTCAGTCAGCAGATACTTATTCAGCACCTGGTGTTGTTAATATGTTCAAAGACAGGCAAACAGTCTCTCTGGCAACACAATTTTCTTCTGTGTTTAATTAAAAAATATTAAAACTTTTTATCAATGATGAATAATAAAATATGAAAATTGCCTTTCTTTGTTACTCACTGTATTTTCCTCAGATTGGCAAATTTAGATGTGAGTAGGAATGATTTGGTAAAATGGCACCTATGGGGATGGGTTTGAGAGAAGCATTTTATAGGCTGTGCTTCCAGTATGAAAATTATCTGAGCCCCGCATGGTAAGTCAGGCAGGTTCACTTCCTTTTCTGTTAGATGCAAGCCTGCAGAACCAGGCCTTTCCGTCCCTTCTGTGTTCCCCTAGCCCCACCCATCCTTCCTACCCTTCTCATCTGTCCTGCTTATCCTACCGGGGGCTGCCAGTCATGCCAGATTGATGCTCTGCCTTTTGCCCCTCCACTTAGCTCAGGACTGAACTGTGCAGTAGCCCAGCACTGTTTAGCCAAAGGCATCATTGTGTTCCTTCCTACCCTGAATAAATCATTTTAAGGGTTTCATGTTTTCTGGAGTTGCAAACAGAAGCCACAGGATTCCTGTGATGGGGATAGAATGCTTTCTGGCCCCAACTCCAATTTCTCAAAATGGGTTTCCAGTGCTGTCAAAGGGAGGCTTGGCAATCCTAGGGTAGATGCAGGTCAAGTGATTCCTATAAAGCAGACCCTTCCTTTCTCACATCAAACCCAGTCGGCAGGTTTTGTATTGGCACCTAATGCTGAGACATGATGTGCCCCAGTGGCATCAGGAGACTTCACAGTTAGCCCTGACTCAGACTAACCAGAACAGCTCTTTGGGGGCTTTAATGTCTTCCTTGGAATGAAGCTATCGTATTAGAGGCTGTCCCAGGGCCTTTGGTTTCATAGACTTGGGCAGATGTGGCACACTGGTCACCCACACTTGAGGACTTTTTTTTTTTATATTGCCTTTAAATAGAACAACTGATCACTGCTTGTGGCCTTACTTCCAGCCCTTTCCCTGATAAAGGGTTGCTTAAATCACCTGCCTACAAACCCCAAGTTTGTGACTTCTGCTCTTTCACATGTTGCAGAGGCCCACGTCTACACTTCCTCCTGCTGGATTTGGAGTCTGGGAGTGGGGTTGGGGAAATGAAGGGGTAAGGTTGGGCCTAGGTCTGTGGGGTTGGAGCCTCTGGTGCTCAAAGGAAACATGCGTCCTTGGCATCCCCTTTGATCGTTGAGTGGTATTTATGCTAACGTTCAGATCTGTGCTAACAGAAATTCAAGGAAAGCCACATATACAATTTTACATTTTCTAGTAGTCACATCAAAAATCGTAAATAGAGGGCCAGGCGCGGTGGCTCATGCCTGTAATCCCAGCACTTTGGGAGGCCAAGGCAGGTGGATCACGAGGTCAGGAGTTTAAGACCAGCCTGGCTGCCATAGTGAAACCCGTCTCTACTAAATACACAAAAAATTAGCCAGGTGTGGTGGCGGGTGCCTGTAATTTCAGCTACTCAGGAGGCTGAGGCAGGAGAATTGCTTGCTCCTGGGAGGCAGAGGCTGCAGCGAGCTGAGATCATGCCATTGCACTCCAGTCTGGGCGACACAGGAAGGCTCCATCTCAAAAAAAAAAAATTTGTAAATAGAAACAGGTGAAGTCAACTTTAATAATAAGTTTCATTTAACCTAATGTATTCAGAATACTATTTCCACATGTAATCAATACAAAATTAATGGTATATGTTACATTCGTTTTTATATTAAGTATTTGGAATCTGGAAACATTGCAGTTACAGCAATTTGTATGCTAATTTTTCATTGGAAAGATTTGATCTGAATTTAGCTTTTATACAATTTATAGCTAAAACATACATTTACATACACAAATTAAACAAGCCAAAAGTTTTCCAAAAATGGAATTAGATATCAGTTTTTAAATTTTAGTTCACTGAAATAAAATAAAAATTCAGGGCAAGGTGTGGTGGCTCACGTCTGTAATCCTAGCATTTTGGGAGGCTGAGGTTGGTGGATTGCCTGAGCTCAGGAGTTTGAAACTAACCTGGGGAATCCTGTCTCTACTAAAAATATAAAAAATTAGCTGTGTGTGGCAGCGTGCACCTGTAATCTCAGCTACTCGGAAAGTTGACACAGAAGAATCACTTTAACCCGGGATGCAGAGGTTGCAGTGAGCCAAGATCACACCATTGTACTCCAGCCTGGGCGACAGAGAGAGACTCCATCTCTAAGAAAAGAATAATTCAGTTCCCCAATTGCACTAGCTACATTTCAATTGTTTAGCGGCCATATGTGGCTACCGGGTACTGTTAACAGACAGCACAGATCTACGTTAGGAATCCAGCTGGGTCTAACTTTCTAGTGTACTTAACCATTTATTTATTTATTTATTTATCAAACATTTGCTGAATACCTACTCTGTGCTATGCCCTGCACCAACTGTTGGTGATAAAAATCCAATGAAGAAGAGCATTCTTGTTCCGTAGGAGCTCCTGGGATGCTGGGAGTCAGAAGGAAGGACACTTTCCTCCCACCCTTCTTTGTACCTGACTCAAGAAGGCAATGGGAGATGAGGTCCAGGCTGATATGCTCTGTTGCAGAAATGGCTCACACTGCAGCGTGGTGTAGAAGCAGTGGATTCAGGGTCAGTGTTCCTGGCTTACCTAGCACCTCAAGTGGGTTGTGGGTTGCTGACAGCAGGATTCACTCTGGCTAGTTGAGGCAGATGGGGTTTATTAAAGGAAACTTAGGACAAGCAATCATTTGGAGGCTGAGAAATAGATTTGGGTAAAGTTTCCAGGAACAATCCCCTAAACTGTGCTTTGGACTGAAAAATGAAGGGGAAATCTGGTATTACTACGGCTGCTGCTACTGAGCAGTAGACACCAGGTACTTTATTTTAGCCACTCCTGCCACCACCACTGATGCCACTTCTGAGTCACCAACCAGACCTCACCATCACTTCTGAAGCTAAGGCCTCTGCTGCCTTCCATGCCAGCAAAAACGGAAGCTCCACGCACTGCCTGCTCTTTATGCTACTCATTTCTGAATCGGCTCTCTAGTGGAGGCAGCGGGTTGTCAGAGCTCAGACCACATGCCTAGCTGGAAAGACAGCTGGAAGCTCTGAACTCTGACTCAAACTCTGACTTCAATATCAGGGAGATGGGGCTTATTACATGAGAATATCCCCAAATATGGAAAAGCTACCCAAAAGTTGGTGAGAAGCCACAAATATGACAGATGTCTACTACAGTCAGGGTGTGGGCGCGCTATAGCCTCAGGTAGCAAATCCCCTTGTCAAGATCAGCCATGCACTCAGTAGGTGTCATATCAAGGTTCTGACAGAGTGCTATGGATTGAACGCTTCTGTGCCTCCAGAATTCATATGTTAAAATCCTAACCCTCAGTAAGATGGTATTAGGAAGTGGGGCCTTTGGGAGGTAATTAGGTCATGAAAATGGAGCCCTTGTGAATGGCATTAGCGACCTTAGAAGAAGAGACCCAGGACAGCCTGCTTCCTTTCTCTCTGCTTTTTACCACATGAGCATGCAATGAGAAGATGATGGTCTGAGAACCAGGAAGAGGATCCTCACCAGACACTGTATCTGTCAGAACCGTGATAAAGTGCCTGTGTAAGACCACTGACCTTCAGAGGCTTCTCAATACAGCATGACTGCACACATTCCTTAGGAGGGCTCTCATGCCCCTACCCCCAAATGTGATTCTATAACCTAGGCTTAGACCTTGACGTGTTTTATAAATGCTATGATCTGAAAAAAACTCACCAGCAGTGGCGAATCGGTTCACTCAATGCCTTCTCCAGTCCCATGTGCCTCCGTGTACTGCAGAGGCTGAAAACTAAGTGCGTTCCCCGGACTCCTTGGCAGATGGGGATCTAGACAAGCGTAGGTTCAGCCAATCAGCCGACCTCATGTAGGACTTTGATTTGTAATTGAATAATAGAGGGAGTTGAACGGGGCATGAGGCTGGTGCTCATTTTGAGGATCTAGAGTGGTCAGCGGCTGTGGCAGCAGCTCCCTCAATGGCAAGTTGCCTGGCGTAGTTCGGGGAGTTAATACAGAACTCAGCTTGGAGTATATCCCTACAGCCTTTCCAGTGACTTACGGACCATCTACCTGGGCTTCATAATATTTTGTTTGTGCTTAAACTAGCCAGAGAGGGATGCCACTACTCAGAAGTGGCATCAGTGGTGGTGGCAGGCGTGTGTAAAACAAAGACCTGTATCCAGTGTGCCAATGATTTTTTCTGGAAAGACAGTTCTTTATTGTGTGATCACGTACTTCTTAATTTGCTTGTGCTAACAGGCCGATTAACCTATGAAAGGATGGTAAAGAGATGATAGCATTATTAAAATGTCTCTACTCGGTAAAGTAAAAAAAGACACTAATCCTATGTTGATTTTCCCTGCCCCAAATTAAAAAAACAAAACACAAAAATATTGGTCTGTAAAATACAAAAGCCTGGAAATGCTTTTTGGTGAGACCTGTCATCCTCATCCTTTTGAAAGCCTCACACAGCTATGTTTATTTATCTTCTCTACACATATTTGACTATTTACTATGTGCTCAGAAACATGGTGGCCCTTCATTTATTTTCTTATCTTCAGGTGATCTTTCCCATGCTGACTTTAATCCAGCCTATGCTAGTTTCTTGTTGGCAGAGATGTTATGGCTTCTGGCCAACAAAAAGCTAACGTCAATCCTAGCTGCTAAGTGTCATGATGCCATGAAGCTATTAGCCCAAGGACAGGAATATGTTTTATATTAGCTCTCAACCTTCAGATGAAACTAGATTTCATTTCCAAACAACCCAGAAAAGACACAATTAGAAAATGAAGAATAATGTTTAGAAAATGCCTAATGGGGTGAAGATGGGATTACAGAAAAGTTCTTTAGTGGGGTAGAAAGTGTAGATGGGGATGGGGGTGGGGACGGGCCCACTCCCCAATCTAAGAAAGGAGCTGGCCATCCTGTCCCTGGAATCTCAGATAAATATAAAGAAGGCGTGTGACAGAAGGGGACCCGGTGGCATTGGTCATCTTGGAAATCTACCAGGAAAGCCTTTACCTGTGGCTTGTGCTCACGGCATACCCACCCCCAGGGTTTCAGCACAGTTGAGCTTCTCGTGCTTTGGCTGAGGAGACCATCTGTGGCTAGGTGGCAGAAGTGGACCATGTTCAGTACACAGGGTGTAAGACCTTGGGAAGTTTCGAGTTATGGAGACTGCCTGTCTCTGGGTGCCTGTGTTGTCCTTCCTTTCTGTCTGTGACTACCCTCTTCTTTCTGGGTCAAGCTAGTCAGATATGACTCAGGCACATTCTTCCTTGGGAGAAGATCGGGTGAATCCTTTAATTCAGTCTCTGTTTCTTTCCCTTAATAAACTCTTTTTAGTTTATTTGACTTCATCAAAGCAAGAATGTGATTCCATTCCCTTGAGGCCCTTGTTAGAAGCCTGGTTGTGTGGGACAAGTAAGGACTCTGGAATCCCACAGACTCGAACTT